CTTTTGAGAGTTTTTTGTGAAGAAAGCTTGTGCTGTTCCAACCAGCTCTTAATTTCTAATCTGCTGCACCCCGCCCTGTGGAGAGAGTGAGGCGCACCTTGGATTTATGCAGTCAAGATTATGTTAATCTGCTGTAATCTCCTAACAGACGGTCAAGCAGACTGCACAGAACCAGAGTACAGATAGAGATCGTAGGCTACAAACATTTTTATCATAAAACAGCATGAAACTAGCTTTGCATGACCCACTTATTCATCACTTTAGAGAATTCAAACGGTCTCCATGTATGAAAACAAACGATGTTATCATCAGCAGCCTTTCCTTTGAGGCTCCCAGCACCAGAAGCTGCAACATCAAAGCCTCCTGCTGCAGTAATGATCAGTTCTACTGAAAATGCATGAGCATGGCAGCTTCTCAAGACCTAAATGCAGATTGGAGCATTTGAATGCAAGTCAGATACATTGGAGAAGTAGGGCAGCAGCAGTTTGGATTCAGCTCTTTTGAGCTGCAGTCGATTGATAAAACATTTGTACTCTTAAGTGTGCAGTTACTTTTAAAATCTTTGCAAGCTGATAAGAAACATTAGTTGCAGTTAAGACTCAATCTGCTTCGGTTCTAGAAAAGAAAGTGATTAATAAAAGCTGTTGAATCCTGTGTTTTCTAAACCAGGCATCCCCAAAGTCGGTTTTAGAGGGGTTTTTTTTTGCTTCAGCACAGCTGATTTACATTGATAGTTGATTAACAGGCTTTTGCTGAACTGCAGTCATCAGAATCAGCTGTGCTAAAGCAGAGAAACCTCTAAAATCTGCAGCACAGCGGCCCTCGAGGACCGACTTCGGGGATGCCTGTTCTAAACGTTGGATACGCGGCAGCAGTAATGAAGTAGAGGGATCGGTGTGTTGTACGTGAATTTCAGTGCAGGAGGAATGAAAAGGTGCTCCACACAGTAATATCTGATGTTACAGTAGCCAGATGTTGGAACCACTGGAATCACTAAAGGTGCAGCAGAGTTGTAAATTAACCCGAGTCTCCGATTGGATAACTTTAGTTATACCAAAAAAGATGAGCGTCTCAACCCTGATCTACATATTTATGAATCGTCTTTCCTTCATATGAGTTTATGTTGACATAAAAGTAAAATCCAATATTAATCTGCATGGTTTGATTCTTCACGCCTGTAAATAAATAAGATTGCTCATTATGACCTGAAATCGAAACCACAGGACCTGGATGTTGGACTCTTTGCTCTTTTTAGGGACAATATATATACATATATATTTTTTTGCACAAGTGGCCTTGATTTCAAAGTTAACTGAAAGGAAATAAGGTTGAGAACAGTAGACATGCAGCAAAGGTCAAAGACCAGGGCTGGAACCAATAACAGCCTTTCAAAGACCAAGGCCTGCACAAGTAGGCTGAATGCCCCGCCACCACTTCAGACTTATTAGTCTGAGACTGTAGCGTTGAGACTTGACTATAAAGACTTGGGAAGAAATTACTTGGTCCCATCTCAGGTATGCAGGATTCTTTTGGTTTTAAATATAAAATAATGACACTGCTGAAACCGTCACCTTTTAACCCTATAAAGACTGGATTATAATGAAATTAAACCCCTGAATTAAAATAATACTCCATATTCAACTTGACAGCAAAAAGTGAATGTAAAACAAAACGACTCCAAAAGGATTTTATCACAAAAATTCCAACATTTTCCATTTTTATAACTCAATTCCTCAAAAAAAGAAAGAAAAAAAAAACAACTAAAAATGACAGCAGGAAATTATGGAATGACTTTATTATAGGTATGAGTACAGTAAATATAACTGATATTACAGACCAAACACATCCTGTAGTAGAGAACCAGAGGAATAAACTGAACCTTCATTTTTCATGTTTTCACACACACACAAAAAATCCCCCATTGCACTGATCAAAGAAGTGTAAAACACTGATTTATATTGAAAGATTCACCTAACTACAAACAGTAAACCTTTAACACGCGTTAATAAACAAACCAAAAAAACCCCACTAACTGAACCATCCGACTGAAGCCATCCGGGTGTTTTCCTGCCTGGGGTTGCCAACATGAAAACTCTCCAATTTCAGCTTCAACGGGCTGCGGAGTCACATTCCTCCCTAAAGCTTTACCAGCTACAGCAGCCGGGGTGTGAACACTGAGGCGTGACCGTGATTTTAAGTAGTACCTTTCAGATAAGTTTATACACGTCAAGCTTCAGCAGCTGCACTGTAACCTGGTCAATTGAATCCAAATGATCCAAGTGTAAAATAAGGCGTCTTTAACATGATACTTGTAACATTCAAATAAAAATCCATCTTATTTGGGTGATATTTACATTTTGCTTTTGCATCTGGATACAAATTACATCACTGTAACAGCAGAATTGCCCAAGTGTCACATATTAGACTATTTTCTACCATAATGTCACCCTGAGAACATCTCCAATATGTTAATGAAGTAATTGTGAAATAGTAGAAGCAGGGAGTACAATAAGCTGGTGTTTAGTGTTCCTCATTAGCTCACATGTGCTGGATTTATTTGTACAAAGAGCGCTGTGTGCCTAAGCAAAAAAGCTCAAATGATCCATAATGAGAAGTTTAGGGCTCAGCTTTCCAGAACACGTCACAAGACTGGATTTAAGGCTGTTAGAACCTGATTTAAAGCTATTCCCCATCTAGGATTAAAACTGTATTGGGAACTATTGTCACAGACTTGTAAGTCTGTGACAATTAAGGTGTTCTAGGTCTCATATGTCGGTGAAGGTCCCACTTAGATTTCAGAGGGATGAGTCAGAAATCCACCCCTGCTGACAGATGGACCCCAATACAGGTGCCTTTTACGTCTAAGAATTTTATTGATGTCTTTTAAAAGCTTTATTTGCATTTTTTCTTTTTTGCAGAAGCATAATTTCAAATAGAAAATGTGTAATATATTTATTGAATGGGGGCTAAATGCTACTTTAAGTGAGATACTTGAATTGTATTTTCAATACTACATGGAAAAGCTAGAAAAACCAAAACAGACAAAAAAGAAAACGTTTAGGCTATATATATATTAATAAAAAGCTGTTGCTGGGTACCCAAATCAACACAGGTGTAAAAAAAAAAGGTTAAGGGCTGATAAAGACCTCAAAGTGTAGAGAAAAAATCTGAACAAGAGAGAAAACTGGAAATGAGTACTGAATAATTATGAATAAAAAAAATGAGAATTGGACAGTTTCAATTCATACAGGAAACAAAGAAAAGGTAAAAAGGTGAAGAAAAAAAGTCAAGATGTACATGCTGAGTGAGGAAGAATTGAAAAAGTTTTGGATTTAGAAAAGAAAATGCTAAGAAATGGGAGAAAACTTCACATTTTTAGGGAAGAAAAAGAAACCAAGAAAGCAATTTAAATACTTCTAATGCAAAGAAATGATAAAATTAATCCATACGCCTGCAACAAAGAGGCCTTAAATAAAGCAGTTGCTTTGATAGATAGCAGCAACTAGATTGCAGAAATACTACTTCCATTTTTTGATTGCATTTTTAAATATATTTGTTAAATCTTCTCCAACTTTTTTTAAGCAAAAAGTGATCTTTGTTCTAAGACAAAGCTTCTAAAAAGTCATCCATCCTAAAATGCTCCATCATACAATCCAAACGTTTAACAGTTAGGAATCGACTTTCTTTTTGTCTTAAAACAGGAAGCTACAGCTTTACAAAGGCACTAACTGTGTAGACATCCAGCAGAAAAAAACCCACAATAAATCCTCATGAATCTGAAACAGAAACCTGTTTCTTTCTTTCAAATAAAACAAAATATGAACCAAAACATTTGGTTTATCCAATGAGAACAATACAAGCATGTTTGCTGTGTTTCCATCTAGATGTTTGCAGATCAGATTTGTAGAAAAAGCCTTTAGATATTCTGTAATCTGTTCACCACTGATAAGGCAAAAGTTAAAGGGGGGTAGAATGCACTAAAAGTAATCCCATCATTATAACAATAGCTTTTATAAGCTCCGGGTTTATCGATTTTATCCATAAAAATAAACGAAATAAACCAGGAATCATTTAAAAAAATAAGGTAATTTTCCTGTTTAAGTGTGTAGCTACACAAAACCTCAATTTTATTAATTAATGTTAAACAAAACATAGAATATTTCCATTTGAATGAACTTTCTGGATGTTTCAACAATTGTATAAATGGTTTTTCCTATTCATAAATTTTTATTTATTTATTATTATTTCACTAGGGGTGTGAATAACAATGGAGGCTGTTTTCTGATCTGCTTTCCGTTTTGTTTGTTTTTCCAGAGGAAAAAACCCAGCAGTGAAATAAGAGTGACATCAGATATTTGATGGTCAAAGATCAAGTTCCACCTTTTTTTTTTTTTTTTTGCTTCAGCCATGAAAATGCTTAATAGTTGATCATGTTCTTGAATTACTCTGTTTGGAATTAAATAGAAATGCGAGAAGAAGTGGTTCTTAAAGATGGAAATTAAATGTAAAAACAAAATCCATAATTGTCATTAAATACTGATACTTTTATCAATTTATGATAAGTTTAATAGTGGGCAGCTAATGTAGGATTGCAACAAAGCTGAACCAATCAGCACACTGATATCTGCTTCTCCCCATGTATCCTTATTGAATGAGATCAACTATCATAGAGGAGCTTCAATCTAATGCAGGATATAAATCTGAATATTGGTGTGAAGATTAAATATGTTCAGTGATGAAGGTTCTTACCCATATATGAGCTGGGTCACACAAAAAATAACAGAGCAAGCTATTGCTGCTACTTTATTGGAGCCCATGAAACCCAATTTTTAGTAATGAGTCGATAAACAATTACTCAAAATCGGATGCATAAGGTAAAAGAGGTTTTCTGGTATGAAAACTGTCAGAGTATAAAATGACTTAAGAGATGAAATGTGCAACAACTGCACTAAAAAAACAAAAACAAATATGAGATAAATAAATCCTAATTGAATTTTGGTTGAAAACGTTGTGCATCTGCAGACATAATGGAGAAAACCGGCCTATTTGAAGCCTTGGTTTTTCTTAAAAACATTCCTTGGATACAAATCATTCATATATTTCCTATCAGCACCTTTAACCAAAAACAATGCTGAGTTTATGAGCGCCTTTGGTTTGTGACAGACATGATGGCGAGTTGAGAAATCAGCCGCCTGACCTGGAAAAAGAGCTGCTACAGAGGTATGGCGCCACGCGCTACAGGTTCTGATGGACGCTTTGCTGCAGAAACTGACAAAAAAATCATTGGAAATGAAAGACTAAAAGCAAAAGATTACATTTACATCAGAAATAAGGCTGGTTTTCTGCTCTGTGTGCAGAACTTCTTATAAATCAACAGTACGTCCCATCTGCTACAGTGTGTGAAGGAAGCAGAGGTTGTTAAATCTAAACCGGACCCCTTAAAGAATGCAGAAATGCTGCAGAGCTGCATCAGCAGAGAGGATTCTGCTTAGATTATCTGTGGCAGAACCCAAACAAGTTGGGGTTTAAGCTGCAGCTGTTTGAATATGCTTGCAGCAGAGCATAAAGGCCACAATGGGAAGTTTATTCCTGCAAATTCTGCTCCTGTTTTCCCTATAAATGTCCCATTTCAGATATACGTGCAGCTTGTATATGAATAAAACAATAAAAAAACAAGTTTAAGAACAGAAAACTTTCTTTATGATTCCTGATTCTGCTCAATAAAGGCTGTTTATAACTAAACTGTTTCTAACTCTGATCATAAACCAGCCACTCAGATGATTTCCCCTCCTTTCAGGTGTTCCATGTTTCCAGTGAGACAGGTAGGACTTGCAGGGCAGATATGCTCCTCCTAAACGATGAAGGTTTACTCCCTGTGTAGTAAACCAGTTCTGCTCTGCTGTTAACTAGCAACACTTAACCCGTTTTTCTTTAGATTTATGGGGATAAATGTTACAGTTTTTGTCAGTCCAACTAGCTCCTCTTCCTGCAGCGAGACCCAAATATCTTAAAAACATCTCAACCTACCGGTTTAACGTCCAAAGTTCAGGTATTTCCAACCTTTCTGTTTGTACCTTTTGTACAAAATGTTCAATGAGATTAAAAAGGAAAAGAATACTTTGTTATTTATATTATGTAATAAATAATAAAACTTTGTCCATATATGTTGATTATGCAAAAGAAAAAAGAAAAAAAGAAGAGTGACTGGCTGAGTAAAGAGCAGCACATAATATTAAGTCTAGGTTTTCTCATCTCTAAATCCTGATGAAACTAATAAAAAAAAAAAGAAAAAAAATCATCTTCCAGCAAAGACAGATGTTTGTTTCACCTGAGGAGTTAGGATGAGATCTTTCTTCTTCTGTTGCTTTAATGTGAAACACCAACCAGCCACTCCCTTCTCACAGCTTGGCTCAAAACATGGATCCGTCTGCAAAAAAAAAAATGAATGCAGGCCTCAGATGGCAACGCGAAAGGAGTCCCAGCTGTCCTCTTTGCCGCTGCTGAGGTTCCCGTTCTTGGCCGCGGCCATCGCTGAGCTGCCGTCCCCGACCTCCCCGTCCGGATGCTCCCCGGTGGGAGTGGAGCCCGGCTCTGCGTAGTATTCATCATCCTCGTCGAAGTAGCCGTTCTCCATCATGCTGAGGCTGGAGGCGGCGCTCAGGTCGTGGCAGCTGCCCTTGTACTCCTGGATGGACTCGTGGAGCGACCACAGCTGGCACAGCAGGGACATGTCCTGTTGGCGCAGCCCTACCTGTAGGGGGCGCAGTTCAGAGACTTTCATTAATCTTTCAAATTTAGACTAAATTATGAAAATAATGGTAATCTCAGAATGTATGAGGAACAACCGTCAATAGGGGAATGAGAAGACACTGAACGCAGGAACTGAACAAACAGCGATGAGAGATTGAAAAGAAATTAAAATGTTTCTTATAAGGTTTTGGAATCTATCAAATTTTTTATTTCTGATTATTTAATTTTAGAAAATTTACATCAATTTATCTCTTTTTGTTTCCATTACTGATAAACTTGCTCACGGTGTAATACCATTAGCTGTTAACATGCAGTTTGTTGTGAAAAAAGCAACAACCACTTTCTGAAAGTAATGCATGTCATTTGTAATCCTTTAAGAAACGTAAAAGAGGAAAAAAAAACATTGGGGTAAATTAAATAAATTAGATTTTTAAGTCATATCGTTCAGCCCCGGATTCTAAGAACTGGACTGAATCTTGTTTTTTATTAATGAAAAGACACGACTTATAAAAAAATGGATTTGATGCTATGTTTTCTACGGAAGAGGATTAGGGCCACTGAAAAAAAAAAAAAAGTTAACTGATTTTTTAATTTTATTTCAGTTTAACATGGGAAAAAAGTCTGAATTCTGAGATTAAAATCAGAATTCTGACTTTTTTCCCACACTAAACTATTTTTTTTTTTCCCCCACTGGCCCTAATCCTCTTCCGTAGTCTTCATTGAGCCTGTATCATGTCAGGATTTTATGCTGCTTCAGTTAAACTCAACCTGGGTCCTTTTTCCATTTATAACGTACAGCAGGTATCTTATAAAAAGGTCATGAGTGAACAGAAAAACGTGCAAAAGTTACAAGAATGGATGGAGGAAAAAAACGTTTCCAGAGTCCGTTTGCTTTTCCTAAACAGTTTGGAAAAATCTTTCAATTTCAAACTTCTTCACACTCCTTAGGATCACAGAAAGAATCACTAATATTGTTCTGTTTGTGTTTGTTCAGTAAATAATGAGTTAAATGAAATTTCACCAAAATTTGAAACTGCAGAAAGCTTTCTAGATAAAAAAAAAAATTCCAAAATAATTTTTAAGGCATGTTCAAGATCAGGTGTCAAACGTATTTATTATTCATCTGATTTATTTCAATTAACCACTAAGAGCAAGCATGATTTTGTAGACACATGATAGTGTAATTCCTAGACAGCAAACTGAAACATTTTCTGTTTTAATGGTTTGCTTTAATCTTCTGAAATTTTTTAAAATCTTTTTATCAGCACTCTCCTTACGGTCGAGCAAAAGGAAAGGATAATGAAAATCGGATTATTCATTAGACCAGCAGTTCTCAACCTTTGCGTCCTGAGCCCAAATGGGATTGCAGGATAATTTCTGGGGGTCAGCAAAATCCTTTAGGAAAAACAATAAATGTGGAAAATGAATGTAGCTTCTGACCAGACATTAGAAGGACGGGGAGCGGCTGGTCTCAACTCACCTTAGGAGCCTGCTTAAACGTTTTAATAAGTATTCCCCAAATTATTAGAGGCTGATAAATTGGATTTTGCCACCTTGACCACGTCATCAGAGCTGCAAGGCGCCCTGCTCCATCTGTCCTCTGATCGTACATTACAGACTTCTAGCTCTCTGCCTGCGAGCTGGAAGAGCTCCAGTTTTCAGTAGCAACAGAGTATGCAGCTAGGGCTAAAACAATTAAGGTCAATTCATGCTTCTGACGCATAGCCTCTGCAACCGTCAGATCTGTCGCTGTGTGCGACCACGCCCCCCCACGCAGAGCTTCTGCAACCGTCGTCTCGCACCTCAAAGAAATCCTGACTACGCGTCGGACGGTTGCAAACCCGCGCAGACCTCAAACAGAAGTAGCAGACAAAAAGCAGCTGTGATTGGTCCTTGGTACGCCTTTCCGACTGTCTGTGTGGTCGTCCTTCTCGATTCGGTGCCGGGGCGCCATTTTTAAAAACCCAGGAACAACTACAATGGACAACCTAGGCGTCCTCCTTTCTCTTTTTGCCAACTCCCTTAACAGAACCTGTTTCTCTTCGATGTCTAGCAACTCTAGATCCATCTCTGTGATATCTTGCAGACGCGGCATTGTTGTTTAGGAAAATAAACACTCCAGTCGGTGCCGCCAAAGTTCTTGTGACCATCCGCCAAAGTTTCGCGAGTTCTCGAATCGGCTCCCCTTTGCGCTTTGGCAGGAAACTGCTGTGCGTCCCTAGAAATTCCAGACCGATGGTGCAGAAGCTACCAGCAAAACTGGTTCGCCACCAGACCCAAGCAACATTGATGCGCGGTTGCAGAAGTATAATCTGCCCTTTAATCAGATTATGATACTCGATTGTTGAAATAAAAATCTACTTATTCATTAATCAATTAATCACTAACTGGAGTTAACGATTAGCTAAAAGAGCACCCACCTAGAGCAGTAATTATACCAAGATCGTACAAAAAATAAGTATGCATTTTACATTTAAGATAAAAATATTTTCTATCTGTCAATGTGCGCTTTTTAGAGGAGACGTTTTAGTTTCACCTGGTTTAATTTCACACAAAAAAATTGAAGTGAAGTGTTGTTTCCATTTGGATCCGCAAAAATGTGCAAATAAAAGACTTTTTCTGCACTGAAATACGTGAAAAACTAATACATATGGTAACCCCTGAGAGCCGAGAGCGCTGTCTACTATGTTTCTAACATAAAGTCAAGAAGCTGCTCTGTTCAAACAAGCAGGCTCAGCCGTCACGTTAAATAGGTGAAGAAAAACATCTCTGCTTTTTCTCAGGAAGTTATTTTCCTTGTTCAAGCTCTCAAACGTGGTCTGTCTTCTAGTGTTTTTTTTGTTCAACACACACTGTTATTTATTTCATTACAAAGAAAATAAAGTTTGTGTTAGTTGTTTACATTTTAACCACAACATGATGGGGTTTGGAAAATGAGCCTTTTGATGCTGCTTTATGTTCCAAAACAAGATGATAAAGAAGCTGAAGGGAGTTCATCATTGCTTGTCTGATGTGTTAAACTTGCATTGTCCTTAACAAACCTATCTGAACTCCTGTGCTCTGCAGACCAGGGCGTGGCTTTATATAGGACAACTACCATATCATTAAGCTCTGTGGACTTCAAGCTGTTGGTCAAATGCAGGCGGCAACAAGCAAAGCAGCAGGTTGCTGGACCAGCTGTTAGGGATGAATATTCCTGCTGCTGGGAAAGGACTATTAGAGATTATGTGATCACATGTCTGGTATATATTTTTCTTTTACTCTTAACATACAGAAAGCAGTACGGCGTTGTTTTACGTGGTTTATTAACATGCCTTTACAGTTACAGGTACACTAGTGTTAAAGGACACTGTGAAACATCACTGGTTTATGGCGGATCAAGAAGAAATGAGGTCAGCGGAATATGCTGATTCTTTCAAACTCAGATTAGAATCTTTTTCGATTAAATTATTTGAAGATATTACTATGTAGTTTTATTTAATTCATTTATCAAATTCTATGTTGATTTTTTTCTTCCATTGCATTTTTAATTTGCTTTAATGCCTTTATTTTAGCTTTTATTCTTTGCATTTTCATCATAAATTACGTGCAAGTTTTAGGTTTAGGATTTCTATGCAAATATATTTTTATGCAGTGCATCGTTTTAGTTTTTGTTTTGGAATTCCTTATACGTTTTTTTTACTTGTCTGGTAAAATTTACTGCAAATTATGCTGCTGAGTAACTAATGAACAATTGAACCTTACATGGAAGTTCCCTGCTACATCTTTGCAGGTGATTCATATTTGTATATCATTGTAGCAAGACTAAAATGACATTATAAGCTTTTTATCTGGTTTGTGCAACATTGAGTTTGAGGTGTTTACATGGTGCAGAATGTCACAGATTGGGTTTAAGCCTTTACAAGTAAATACTCGCATGCCACTGGTTACAGCGCCTCTGCACTGGCTTCCAGTAAAGGTTAGAGGAAATATCAAGGTGTTTTAAAATAAAAAAAAAGACATTGATGTATTGTGCACTTTTTGTTCTATGAGTGTTGAAACAGTAACCTATTTGTTTTGGCATTGCACTTTTGTCCAAAATCTCTGGTCTGACATTTGTAAGTTTATTGCAGAAAAAAATTGAGAAAGATTTTAAGTTATTTTGGAAGGATGTCCTATTTGGACTTTATGACCAAATGGAACTTTCATTATTAATCTGATTATTCTCTTGGCAAAATTCTACATTCATAAATGTACGTTTAGACATTCCAAAATATCTTTTATTGCTTTTAACAATGAGGTCAAGCAATATGTCAACACAATTAAGTATTCTCCTAATCAAAAGGCGACAAAAACTGTAAATGTGTGTAAACAATTTGATGTCTTTTTTGTAAATTTGTACTTTCCCTGGCAAAATGTGATGATGAAAATTTTCATTTTTGTTTTTTTGTTTTATGTTAAAACACCAGCAATGTTGGATACTGCACAGTGTAATATTTTCACAATGGAGACGAATGTTCATGTATTCATGTAAACTGTGCAATTGTTGAATTAAAAATAAAATAAAACATTTCTAGTATTGGGCTTGAACTTATGTCTGCCTTTAGATTGTAAGCAAATATATTCATAGATCAGAATTACATTTAATGTAGTTTCATGTAAAAGATTTTCATTGTTACTAAATGATTTATCTTGCTTTTGTGGAATTTATTTTATCTTTTCATTTGCAACATGTACAGACGGAAGAGCAGTAGGGCCACTGAAAAAAAAATGTTGACTTTAATATCAGAATTCTGACTTTAATCTCAAATTTCTGACCTTAATCTCAGAATTCTGACTTTA